TCGCCCTTCGTCCTCTTCCTCCTCCTCCTACTACTACTACTTGCTATTCTCTCCTGCCTACTGCCTCCTACTTTCTTCACCATCACTCGCAGACTTTCTCCTGCCCTCGTTCCCTTCCTCTCCCTCCTTTGCCTTGTTCTCTACCTGATCGTCCTCACTTTCGCTCTTCCAGGGCCATTGCCAACGCTCAGATCATGGGGGTCGTCGTGAGGAGGATGAGAAATATGGCGATCGCAGAGGCGTTTCATGGATGGCAAGCGAGGGTGAGCAGGAGGAGGGAGCGCAGGAGCTGAGAAGCTGAGAAGCTGGGGTGCTGGGGAAGGGAAGGAAATCTCAGGGAAGGGAAGAGGACGGAAAGGAGGGGGGTGAAGGTGGAGAGGACGCAGAGTTGCACTTGGAAGGAGGAGGAGGATAGCAGCAGCAGCAGCAGCAGCAGCAGCAGCAGCAGCAGGAGCAGGGGCTGATCGCTGATGATGGGGCAGGTGGACGAGATTCAGCGAATCAGAAGCATCGGAAAGAAGATCCTTCAAGGATGGATCCTTGCCTCACTCACCAAGTTCTTCTGGTTGTGGGAGGTGAGAAGTGGGAGGAGGGAGCAGAGGAGGGAGCAGAAGAGGAGCGGAAGAGGTTGGGCAGGAAGGAAATGAGAAGGGAAGGAGGGGCAGGAATCATCGTTGAAGATGCAGAGGATGAAAAGGAAGGAGGGGAGGAGGCGAAGGAGGAGGAGGAGCTGCTGCTGCTGCTGCTTCTGCTCCTGCAGGACTAGCATTGAATTTGTTTTCAAAACTTCAGGGTGTGACTGCCACGAGAATCGAGACTAAACGATTCGTTCTCGGAGTTCAGAAAAGATCCACCTGGTCCGTTTATATCCTCCCTTGCTCTCCCGCTCCCGCTCCTCACCCTCCCTCCACTCCTCTCCCCCCACTCCTCTCCCTTCCTCGTCTCCCTCCGTCTTCTCCGTCCCTTCCTCCCCTCGTTTCGCTTCCTCGCTTCCTCTCCCTCCCTCTCCTCTCCCTCCGTCTTCTCCCTCCCTTCCTCCCCTCGCTCACTGTTCTCACAGGATTATCTCCTTGAATGGTCTGACTACGTCGCCCAAGTCGTCGGTGAACGCCGAAGAGAAATCTTTCGCATTGAGAATACCTTCTCCCGTGCTGCTAAGGTCCCTAGCCCTTCCTCACTCCCTCCTTCCTTCTCCTCCCCTCCTCCTCTTCCTCCATCCTCCTTCCTTCTTCCATCCCTCACTCTCCTCCTCTTCTCCTCCTCCTCCTCTCTCCGTCATTGTCTCATCGCTCTTCTTCTTTCGACTGACGTTCTCTCAGTTCCTCACCATTGCACAAGGTCTCCGCGCAGGCAAGGTGATCCCAAGTTCCTCCTCCTCCTCCTCCTCCTCCTCCTCCCTCCTCCACCCTACTCCTCCTCCCTCTTCCACCTCTCACGTCCTCCTCCCAACACAAGAATATCACTGCTAAGCAGTGGTGATGGTCGCTTTTGATCCTCACATTTCCCCCACCCTATCTCGAATACCACAACTGCTCCCATCAC